GCTAAGAGTCGGACACGACTGAGCGACTTCACTTTCACTTTTCACTTTCATGCATTGGAGAAGGAAATGGCAACCCACTCCAGTGTTCTTGCCTGGAGAATCCCAGGGACGGGGGAGCCTGGTGAGCTGCCATCTATGGGGTCGCATAGAGTTGGACACGATTGAAGTGACTTAGCAGTAGCAATTACTTTACAATATTGTGGTGGGTTTTGCCATACATCAACATGAAGCAGCCATTGGTGTACCTGTGTCCCCCGCTCCAAACCCCCCTCCCCGCTCCCTCCCCACCCCATCCCTCTGGGTTGTCCCAGAGCACCAGCTTTGAATGCCCTGCTTCATGCATCCAAATTGCACTGGTCATCTATTTTACATATGGTAATATATATGTTTCAGTGCTGTTCTCCCAAATTAAGGGATTTGTTTTTCTACCATATTTCTAATGTCTGGCAGATGTCAGTTACACAGTGGGTGTTCCGTAAGTTTTAGTTTCATGAATTAACACATTGTATAAATGAGAAAGCATGCCTAGAGAGGTTATGTGGCTGGCTAGCCTATGGTAGACCTGTAACCAGAAGTCTCCTGATTCACAGTCTCCTGCTCTTTTCTTCAGATTAAAATCACAACTAGCGATTGTCTCGGAGAAGGCAATGACAATCCATTCCAGTACTCCTGCCTGGAAAATCCCGTGGACGGAGGGGCCTGGTGGGCTGCAGTCCATGCCGTCGCTAAGAGTCGGACACGACTGACGTGACAGCAGCAGCAGCAGCGTTTGTCTGGAATACTTTGCAATATTTAACCATTACAACAATCTGAACGTTACTTATTATTTTACAGAGTATAAATTGAGGCTCAACAAAGAAAAACATATTCTCCAGACTAGTGGTTCTCAGAGTGTGGTCCCTGGATCAATAATACTAGCATCACCTCAGAACTTGTTAGAACAATTGCATGCCTCATCTCAGATCTACTAAATCAGAAATTTGGGATGTGGGTTAGCAGTAATCTGTGTTTTAATGGCCCTCCAGGTGATTTAGTATTGAGGAATGTGACTATTACGGTTAAACTTGAATTGTTGTTGTTGTTCGGTCGCTAAGTCGTGTCCCACTCTTTTGTGAACCTGTGGGCTGTAGCTCATCAGGCTCTCCTCTGCTTGGAATTTCCCAGTCAAGAATACTGGAGTGGGTTGCCATTTCCTTTTCCAGAGTATCTTTCCGACCCAGGGATCGAACCTGTGTGTCCTGCATTGGGAGGTGGATTCTTTACCACTGAGCCACCAGGGAAGCCCCTAAACTTGAATTAGACAGTTCTGGTATTGGAGAGAACAGATGTGAGTATGGCAGGAGAGTAAAGCAGGAAAGTCCAGTTAAGGAAAGTGCAAATTGCTCAGCTGTGTCCGACTCTTTGCGACCCCATGGACTATACAGTCCGTGGAATTCTCCAGGCCAGAATACTGGAGTGGGTAGCCTTTCCCTTCTCCAGGGGATCTTCCCAACCCAGAATCAAACTGGGGTCTCCTGCATTGTAGGCAGTTTCCAAAGAGCTTCCACCACATCCTTTTTTTAAATTAAATTAATTTATTTATTTTAATTGGAGGCTAATTACTTTACAACTTCCTTGGTGGCTCAGATGGTAAAGTGTCTGCCTACAATGTGGGAGACCCAGGTTCAGTCCCTAGGTCGGGAAGATCTCCTGGAGAAGGAAATGGCAACCCACTCCAGTACTCTTGCCTGGAAAATCCCATGGATGGAGGAGCCTGGTGGGCTACAGTCCATGGGGTCGCAAAGAGTAGGACACAACTGAGTGACTTCACTCACTTGATTACTTTACAGTATTATAGTGGTTTTGCCATACATTGACATGAATCAGCCATGGGTACATGTGTCCCCATCCTGAACCCCCCTCCCACCTCCCTCCCTGTCCCCTCCCTCTGGGTCATCCCAGTGCATCAGCCCCAAGCACCCTGCCTCATGCATCCAATCTGGACTGGTGATCTGTTTCACATATGGTAATATACATGTTTCAATGCTATTCTCTCAGATCATCCCACCCTCACCTTCTCCCACAGAGTCCAAAAGTCTGTTCTTTACTTCTGTGTCTCTTTTGCTATCTTGCATATAGGGTCATCATTACCATCTTTCTAAATTCCATATATTATGTGTTATTATGCTGTATTCTACCACATCCATTTTTGCTGTCTAATATATCTGTTGACAGTGCATCTTTTCTTGATTCTCCTTGGTTTAAGAGGATGGGTATCTGAAAGGCTATTAATTGTTCTTTGTTCACAATACTGTTAACATCAAAGGGATACTGTATTTAGCCTTTTTTTCCTGCTCCAAACTTTATTTAAGGCTCTTTGGTTAACATAACATTTACAGTGAAAAATTTGTGTTAAAGGATATATTACCTTACCTCAAGAAACCTGAGTGTGATTGGCCTAATGGTTAGAACATGAAGTTCTCATTTGTAACATCAGTTCATCTCTGGACCAATTAACTTCTCCTGTTATAGTGCCTTGGAATTCACCACTCTGTGAACCTGGGGTTTAATTCCTTGGGTAATTAAATAGTTCAGGTGAGACAGGACAGATTCATGGTTTACTGCAAATCCATTACTCATTCTAGAAAATGCCCTCGCCCCGCTCCCCACAAAGCCCAGGTGATGTTTTGGAATGTTTTATTTCTATATTGACATCATAGATGTATGCACCTATTCCCTTTTCCCCATGTCATGCTTTGATACTTGAGTTAAAATGGCACTCCACAGCCTTGAAAAATGGACTTTCCTTCTGAAGCACCCAAGAGAGTATCTAAGAAGTATCCCGGAAGTCATCTTTTTGCCTGTGAGTCCCTGCTGGGTTTTCTGACAGGCTCCTTATCCTACAGCTATAGCCACTTAGGCACAACTGCAAAGCAGTCCTGTCCAGACTGCAAACGGGCCCTGTCCTTGCACATGATGAATTGAAGAAGCTCCATTTCTAGCATTTTCTAACTGCCATTCATTGGATTTGACTCTGCGGCACTCTTCTTTTAGCTGACCTTCATGTATCTGAAACCCAGTCTACATGGTAAGCCCATTCTGAGAACATCTCTTTTTATCTTGTCCTCTTGCCCCTGATTTCCTCTTTAAATGGCTTTATTCACTCCATTCACTCATTCGTGTGTTCATTCACTCAACAAACATGTTGTCTATGCTTGGGAAGGCCATGTACGCACTGCTGTATTCAAAACAGATAGTCAACAAGGATCTATGGTATAGCACATGGAACCCTACTCTATGTTATATGCCAACCTGGATGGGAGTGGGGTTTGGGGTTTGCATATACCTATATATATGTATACCTTCACTGTTCACCTTAAACTACCACAACATTGTTAATCAGCTATACCCCAATACAAAATAAAATGTTTAAAGTTTGAAAGAAGAAAAAAAAATGACAAGTCTCTCAAAAAAAAAAAAAACACAAACACCTATTTTCTATGCAAGATGCAATGTTGGAAACTGGGCTTGGGCTAGGATCTTGGCAACCTGACCTTTTCCCACACCCTGGAGACAGGAGTCTTGCTCCTGAACTTCAGAACCATCTCCACGTTCATGTCTGTTACTGTGGCAAACCTGCTTGCCTGGCTCTGCTTCCCCGGGCTCTCTATTTTAGCACCTGTTGCAAAACCTGCATTCCGTCCCCTGCTGTTGGCACTCCTGGCTGGGCCCAGCACATCCTAGTTACCTCTGTGCTTTCCCGGCCCCCAACTTCCAGCTATTGCCTGCAGCCGAGTCCACTGCTGTCACGCCTGCTCCCAATCTCCGCTTTTCTCTTAGACTCTCCACCTGAGAGGAGAGGGTGGGTTTTACCAACCACATCTTGTTTGGGATTGCATCCTCAATAATCAGTGATAGAGCTTCAGTCACGTGCCAGGTGCAGATACAAGGATAAAGGGGTAAGCTATGGATGCCGGTCTCAGGAAACATCACAAATAGAATGGATCCTCTCCAGTTGTGAGGGGAAGGAGATATTTCTGTTGAAGTATTTAAGATTTTAGGGGGACAATAAGATTAAAGGCAAGCCATTATAAACCTTTGTATCATCTCTAAAACATCAAGACAGCATGCTGAATGAAGAGAGTATCAGTGACATTTTTCACATCTTAAATTACTAGTAAGGGTTATGGTACAGTTGCTTTCCATTTACCATCTCTTGCTCAATAGAAATTTCTCAGAGTCTTTCTCCTCTGCCATTTCAATGAAATGCCCATAAAGTTGCTTTGCTTTGCTGAAGATAATATGCACATGAAACGATATTCTCCATCCCCCACCACCCCATATTTATTTCTGCATCCAAATGTGTGAGGCCTTTCAGATTTCATAATTTCGAATTGTTGACTCCTGCATTCTGGGGCCCAGAGATAGCTCTCCACAGCACACGCCACCAGGCCCTTCACATACAGACATCTCTTCCTCCTCCTTGAGTTGAAGGAGAACCATTTTAAGGTACTGCTTTATGTCTCCTCAGAGTCCCTTCTTTCCTAAACCTTCTAGGCAAAAACCTCTGTGACTGTCATGCCATCTGCTTTACTTCACTTTTTTAGTCCCAACACCCGATTTCTCCTTTTTCTAATTATCCCCAACAGGAGTAACTCATAATTCTTATATACTGGAACTAACATTCTTGTGGTTGGGGAAAAGTATACAAAACTCAATCTGTATCAACTGAAATCCCTTGTTTACTAAAATCTGAAGCAGGGGCGGTCTGCTCACAGGGAGGGATTACTTTATAACTGGAGAAAGTAAGGCATTATCTCATGAAAACAGAGATATTTTACTGCATTTATTACTTCACTGCATTTATTCAGTGAATAACACATTAACAAGGTCTATGGGGGCTGATAATGAGGATCAAAGAGCACAAAGTAACTGATTCTACTTGGGAAGTTTGAGCAGGGAAAAGGAATGTGGGCACTGACTCTTAGAGAAATTGATCAGGCAGAAAAGGAAGGAAAACCCTTTCTAGGGAGATGGTATAACATGAGTAGAAGTAAGTGACATTTATCATAATTTGTACTTAAAAGTAATTAATGTCATAACAATTAACAAGGTGTGGAGTGTGCTATTGGTACCTCATGGATAGAGGCCAAGGATACTGTTAAATCTCCTACAGTACATAGGACAGATTCCATAACACGTTAAGCATCCACCTTAAATCATAAGGTGAGTCCCATGAGAGCTGGGACCTAGCCTGTCTTATTCACCCCTGTGACTACAGGACCTCACGTGATTTGAGGCAGAGTTGGCAATCTTTTAAATTTATTGAGTGAATGGAGGCATGAAAGAGAAGAGAGAATGTCTGGGGAGGGAAAATGCATATTCAGAGTTGGAAGCTTGGATGGAGTTAAACAGTATTGGAAAAATAAGGTTATAGATAAGATAAAGAGAAATTAGGAAGGGCATCTTGTGCTATCTGAAGGAGTATTCTTTTAATGTATATCCACAGAGAACTGCTCCATTGAGGGTTTTCAGCAGAAGACTTACACCATCTGATTTATGTTTTATTAGGAGGACCAGGCAGTGAGGAAAGAGCCTGGAGGCTGGACAGTCACTTAGAAAAGTATCATAATAGGTCAGGGATGATGGGGGCCTAACCGAAGGCTGAAGCAGTGAAGACAGATAGAAGAGGGCAGACTGAAGAGAGATTTAAGAC